CATGAATACTAAAGCCTTCATTTATCTGCATCACACAATCTCCTTGCTTGTTCTATCACATTTTTCTTGTCTCCACGGGAACCCTCTCTGTCCCCCATTCTCCCTACTCCTTCAGCCCCTGAGATTATCCCTTTTCTCCTCTCATGTCAATGATATATATACAGAATATACATAGAATTACAGAATCATAGAAAATTAGGGTTGGAAGGGACCTCAGGAGGTCATCTAGTCCAGTGGTTCTCAACCTTTTTTGTATTGGGACCCATTTGTAAACATCAATGGCCAGTCCTGATCCAGTGCCTCCCACCCCCAGGCCCCAAACCCTCCATGTGTGGGGCAGGGGGGCCCCCAAGCAGCCTCTCACAAGCTGGAACTCTGCGAGCCTGCAAGGGAAAAGCCACAGTTTCCCACGTTTTTCTCCTTTAAAAGAGAACCCATTTTAAAGTATGTTCACGGCCCTTTCATATATTCTTGCGACTCACTTTTGGGTCACGACCCGCAGGTTAAGAAATGCTGATCTAGTCCAGCTCCCTGCTCAACGTAGGACCATCCCCAACTAGATCATCCAAGATTAGGCTTTGTCAACTTGGGTCTTAAAAACCTCTAAGAATAGATATACATATCCAATGGATATGTATATGTCTGTGTGTGTGTGTGTGTGTGGGTGTGGGGGTGGGTGGGGGTACATACATACGTGTGTGTGTGTGTGTGTGTGTGTGTGTATACACACACACACACACACACACACACACGTATGTATGTATATGTGTGTACACACACACACACACACACACACACAATAAGACAGGGAAAGAAAATGTTCGTATGGACCTTGAGGTGTTTGAGGTAAAGCAGGGGTTTTCAACCTTTTTTAGTCTAAGTACCCCTGGTGGCCGGACGCTGAGTGGGGAGTGGGGGCGGTCTGTACAAGGCAGGTACAATGCATGGTCAGGAGGGGATGGAGCACTGCCGCCTCCCAGGAGCAGGACGGAGGCAGGGTGGGGAAGCTCACTGGGCTGGTGTGTAGCTGCGGCAGCTGCTGTAAGCTTCCCAGCCCCACAGAGGGGCACCACTCCCCTTTCCCCGCCCTGGCATTGCTCCTGGGAGGCAGCAGCGCTCTATCCCCGCCTGCCTGTGTGTACCCCTTAGGACCTGTCCAAGTACTCCCAGTGGTACTTGTACCCCCGGTTAACAAACCCTGAAGTAATTACTGCCTACTCGCTTCTAATTTTCAGAGTATATCTATGCTGCTTTAGTCACAGTAATGACAGCAGTGTTGTATAGAAGTCAACACTAGCTTTACTACCAAGAAGGCCTATCCCATGACAGCAGTATATACCTGCCCCTAGTCCATGATGGCCTCATCCTGTCTGAATGGTAAAATTTGATTCCTGGTTACTTATATGTACATACAAAGCTGTTATTAATGCCTGTAAAATTCTTGCTTTGCATCTCCTTCTGGATTTGAAGTGCCCCAGGATGCTTTATGATTTCATAGATAGTGCTGAAGCTTGTAAAGATGCCACATTGTAAGTTTTTTTGCCTATTACATTTGGCACACATCAATCTTCATGCCTGGAAGAAAACACAACCTACTAACATGCATCTTCTTCAAGTCGGGTATAGGAAACAATCTGAAATGAAAGATTATTTGAAGTTATTTAGCTCAAGAAAGTCAGGGAACAAGACTATGTAATCAGGACAGTTTTTAACATTTTTCACCTGAGCAGGTATCTTGTGCAAAGTTCTTGCAAGCCTGAGAAAAACAAGGGAAAACAGGTGAAGCTGGATCATAAAGGGGATATGTGCTAATCTACCTCTAACACAGGGGTGGGCAAAGTCTGGCCCATGGGCCAGATTTGGGAGCAGGGGACTCCATTTCCCAGCAGCCCCTGCCCATGTTGCTACAGCTGGTCTCCGTGGAGACCCTGGGAGGGGTGAGGCCATGACAGTGTGGGGCTGGGGTTTTCTATGGAGACCAGCCCTAAGCCATATTGGCAGGGAGTGCAGCTAGCAGGGGAGCTGCTCTGAGGCTGGGATTTTGCAGTGGTGAGAGTGTGGTCCAGAGTCAAGGCAGAGCCACAGGGGCATGCAGGCAGCAGGCTGGGGCTCTGCTCCAACTCCAGACCATGTGGTCACCGCTGCAAAATCCCAACTGCAGCCCTAGCCCCAGAGCAGCGCTCTGTGCTGCCCTGCCAGGGCTAGTCTCCATAGAAACCCCAGCCCCCACACTGTCACGGCCCCACCCCTCTCAGGGTTTCTATGGAAACAGGCCACAGCAATGTGGGCAGTGGCTGCTGGGAAATGGAGTCCAGCCACTGGCAGGATCCTCCACTTTGCCCACCCTTGCTCTAGCACCTCAGCATACAAATCTGAATTTGGCCATTTTTTTCCTGCACTTCTACAGCTCACTGGCAATGGTTTAGAGACCATTTTTAAAGTCAGCATAATCCTGCATCTGAATCTGAGCTCCCAAACATGTCATTTAAGAAAATATACTTACCACTGACTGAAGTGGTGTTCCCGGAAACATGAACTGCATCTGCTGGGCAAGCATTGCTGCTGCAGTTTTCTGCTGGATTAAGTTGTTTCTGCCATTAATTTCTAGTTGAGTTTTTAAATGTGTTGGTGGATGGAGATACTTGCAGTTCTCCCTCGTACAACGTCCCTGAAAAAAAAGTCATTCATTACTTTATAGCTTTTGATGGCAGTTTAGCACCTTGAAGCAAAATATTACACCATTAATTAAACAACAACTATTGAAACACAGCTTTTCAATAGAATTGACTGACTAGGAGCTGTTCACATCCTACAGCCTAGCTGCCAACCATTAACCCTAGTGGCTCATTAATGCTATTATACACTGAAAATGAAAAAAAGGCTTAAAAAAAAAGCAAGCAAAGAGCACTTTAATTGGTAACTAAAGGGCACTGTTGTGAAATTAATACCCTGAATCTTAATTGGGCTACTTGGATTGGCTTTCAAGATATGCTGACCAGGACATCTTGTCTTAACATAGTATAAATGTTCATGTGAATATCAGTAATACTAATAATAGCTTTTAAACTAGCTATATTAAAAGTTTGTTTGTAAAAGTATAAATCTTAATTTTTCTGCCATTCCCTATGCTTCCATTTCAATGTATATAAGTATGTATTACAATTTACAGCATACAGGGTCAAGTCCTTGGCCCAATTACACCAGTGTTAGTTTATAGTGTTTCTATTGAAGTTACCTCAGATTTACAAGCTAGCCTAGTATATTTGAAGATCAAAATTAACAGGAATAAGAATGGCTGGCCAGAAGGAACACAGCTAATACTACTTGGAGATGATAAATCCATAACCGTCTAAAACAGACATTGTTTAACTGACTTTTACCTCCTGCACCCCATTATATAATTAAGATAAACACTTTTAGATTATTAAAATAAATGTAATCATAATATAATATTATAAAGCATGTAGCAGCAAAATTGTAAATTCAAAAACTATATATAATCCTTAAAGTAGGCATAACGAACATGCCTCTCTCTCATTTTCCTATTGGAGGAGAATGTATAATAATAAACAAACAGAAATAAAGATGGCAAGTTACCTTTTGGGTGGTTCAAGTTTCTTTAAAACAAAGGAGGGGCTATTAGCTTGGCCTTATGAGTGTCTGGCTTTAACCAAGAAGGGGCAGTCAAGAGATGCACTGATATAATTCCTCCAAACAACTGAAACCATGCTGAGAACTAGCAGAAGCTAAATCTGTCCTCACTGATCAAGAGGGACCAACACATCATACCTGTATTAGGATGAGTAGATGCAATTACAACAATTTTACAGCACATAAAGATTGTGAGGTTTTAAGAT